CAATAAAATCCTCCTCATCAAGGTGGTCAGGGGTAGGCTAGTATGAGACTTTTTTTGCTTGGCAGTTTACCTTAATAAGCAAAGTGACAGGTTCTCTTCTCTTTAAAGTGAAGGTGTCATTTCCATGCATTATTCCAAACACGCAGAACTGTACAATAAGCGAATACTTACCATTCTCACTACCCTCATCTCCGTTTGCTCCTGTCAACCTCTAAATATCTGTTGTGTCCTGTAGAGAGTGGACAGAAGAACCACGGAGCACAGTGGGGGGACCAAGAGATATTGATACTCCTGGAAGAGTCAGTTTCCCAACAGACTTTATCCAGGGATTTCTAATGAATAGAGTGGTGCTCAGGTGGCAGGGCAGCATGATATGATGAGTATTCACTTGCTTATATGGTAATGACAGTCACTTTAAAGACTTAGTAAAAGTCAACTGAGTTAATATAGAGTACAGTAGCTTGGACGAGGCCACTTTATACAAAAACAGGGTATCCCTTATCTTGGGGGCCCAAAGTTTACGAGTCAGGTAAAAAAGTCTAATGAGAGTGCCAGATCAAAGATCTAAGTGTCCAAAATCTTTGAATATTAGTGTTGACTCATAACAAGGAAACATGAAACAAGAAGAAGATTTGGTGGCGCCATTCCACTCCCTCTCTTCAGCCTGTAAAAAAAAAGGCTCAGTTGGGGTTGATTGATGAGAGAGGGTAGGCAGAATAAAAATAGGATTTTTTTTTCTACTTACCATAAAATCCCTTCCTCTGAGTTCATTGAAGGGCATGGCTCAGCTAGAATCTCAATGGTAGGGATTTAGCGCCACAGTCAAGATTGTTGCCAGGCTGTGTCCTTCAATGAACATAGGAGAAAATGGAATTATTTTCTACTCGCCACAAATTTCCATTTTCTAAGTTCATTGAAGGACACAGCCCTGCAAGAATCTTGACTATGGCTCTAAAACTCTACAGTCAAGATTCTTGCAGGGTTGTGTCCTTCAATGAATGTGAGAAAAAACTGGATTTTTTTTTCTACTCACCACAAAATCCCATTCTCTAAGAGAAGAATCTTGACCATGGTTCTACAACCCTCCGGTCAAGATTCTTGCCCAGATGTGTCCCTCAAAGAACCTAAGAGAAAACTGGATTTTTTTCTGCTCGCCATAAAATTCCTTTCTCTAAGATCATAGAAGGACACAACATGGCAAGAATCTTGACCATGACGCTAAAACCCAACAGTCAAGATTCCTGCCAAGCCGTGTCCTTCAGTGAATGTAAGAGAAACATTAGTTTAAAGGATAAGTTTGAATGTTAAGATGTTACACCCATATTCAGGGTGTAACATGTTACTGTAGGACCAACCCTGAATCCCCCGATCACCCATTGTGACAGCTAGCGGAAGATCTTCTTCCACCCACCCAGTCACGTCATTCATTCACAGAGTTCTGTGAATAGGAAACTACAACTCCCAACAGCCCTTGCGGCTGACGGCTTGTAAGTCTCAAAGAACTACTATGGCACTGTTGAGCGCTGTGATAGTTCATTGATTTTTCCTGTTTGTGTACAACTGCCTGCTTGTAAGAGAAGACAGATTACACTGACAGCTTTCAGGAGACATGCATGGCGCAAGTGATCTGCTGATCACTGGTGCAATGCTTTTCAGGCTCATAAAACAAAAAAACCTGCAAAAAAATGTGCATTTATTATTTTTTGTTAAAAGGTGAACTTATCTTTTAATGACTCTTTGGTCTGGTGATCTCATTAGACCTGTTACACCTTAAAGATTATGCCCAGTGGTCTTTATTAGTGGTCGTCATGCCTGGTGACAAAAGTAACTTCATGAGATGGGAAAAGTAAACTCTACAACTAGGCCACCTACCAAGCCACCTTCTCCTATAACATGCCCTGACTCTACAGAACATTTTCCCATCCCATGAAGTGAGATGGGAAAATCAGGGTCAGTTACACCCCTGAGTTCTGTAGAGTCAGGGCACGGTATAGAAGAAGGTGGCTTGGTAGGTGTCCTAGTTGTAGAGTTTACATCGCTCTTATTTCAGCACAGTAGCATGGCCAAAAATGAAATCTTAAGCAAAGGACAAAGAAACATATTAAAATATTTACATTAAGCCAAATTTGCAAAATTATACTTCATGCCCCTTACTGGTCATTATCTACCTCTAACAGAAATGTGCACATGCAGTAAACAGTAAATGCATACACACTTCATGTTTGCAATAAATACTCAAAGCAAAAACAATATCACATAAGTGAAATATAAATAAAGTAGGTTTCAGAAAACTTTTTATTTGAGGTAATCAAGCTGCTACTTATTTTAACTGTTTAGAGAAGTTTTAGGAAGGTTTGTTTTGTCTCAGATTTAACGGGTAAAGCATGCTATCATTCTAGGATGATATTCTGCTTGAAGAAATGCTCTCACTTAGGATACATACAGAACTGAATAACAGTGTCTATGAAAAGGGCACGCTCCCCATCGACCTCATATAACTCCGCTTACCTGTGCACCCATGCAACTCCTTGATTCTTCACTATAAATAAGCTTTAAAACAATCCCACACTGATCTCTGTAGCTGCACACACTGTGGAGCAATTCATCCACAGAAAAATAATTCAGGCCACTGTGCTCTGACCTCTGCCTGTGATTACATTAGAAAACAGAAGGTTGCCAGGCTGAAAATGTACTGAGGAGGGGGGCTGAACTGCTGAAATTAAACTGAAAATATTTTTTGCTTGAAAGTTTGAGAATTTACTCCATAGTGCCTGCATCTGCAGAGGTTTGCACGCTCTTAACATTTAATGGGTTGTTAATTAGTTATGGCATGTGAGCAATGCTCTACCCCCAACGTGGTTCCTGGGCTAACCCACTCCTGCAGATTGGGACTGCGAAAAAAAACAACAAAGAGAAATGGGAAGGAGGGGGAGGCATGGCCATTATCACCCATCTCCGTCAACTGCAATTAAAAGTAAACACATTTACCCAATTTTTGTCCCTTCAATTGTTTGCAATTTGTTTTCATTAGTAGCATGCGTTGTGGTGAGCTGCATTACCAATCATGCTGCGGTTATGATTTTTAGGTCTGTCGTGTTGCATTCAATGCACCACAGCAGATCTGACCGAGCCCTGAAAAGTAGTAAAAATCAAATAAGAGTTCTAAACCCTCCCGACTAAATCCAAGACTAGAAAATATATATTTATTCAAAATTTACAGCTTAGATTTTTAATTAGTGTATATATACTATGGACACATGTACTTGGTAAAAACCTGCCGCAATACAATATTTGTCACATGAAAAATAATCCTGAGCAGAAGAAGTTGCTATTTTTTTAAATTCCTCTGCATATGCTTGGATGGTTGAAATAAGGCAGGATCACCTTCCCAAAAGTGAAAAAATAAACTTTCAGTGACCACCTAAAAGCAGCTGAATGTGTCATATTTTAAACATATTTAGGGTGTTCATACAGGAATTTTAGCACAGCTTGTGAATTTGTAAAATATGGATCTACTAGCTAAAATGCATCTGTTTGTTAAATTATTAAAATGTAGAATGTATAAAAATAAAGTTGTTGTTTTTTTAAAACAGATTTTTACCTTTTTTTTTTTTTTTTTTTTTTTAGATTTTGTTTTGAATAGCTTTACGGTTCAACAAATAGAAACACTTTTGCTAGTAGTTGTTGAAACAAATAAGTGTTTGTTTTAAAAAGGGAAATATTTTATAGAAGTATAAAACAGATTGTTGTGGACTGTGAACGTGTTCACGAGTAGACGTGAAATTTTCAATCGTCATTTGAAGTTCACATGTAAATAAATAATTAAGCAGGTGATCGTCAGAAAAATGAATAACAATTTGCGTGTATTATCTACAAGATAAAAGAATTTTTCAGTGAACCAGAGGTGGTTTAAAAAAAATATTAGTGTAATAAATTGTTTTTCCTTGTATCTCTTTTTTACTGCGCTGTATTTACTGATGAAATTTAAAAGCAGTGCACACTTTTTTTTTAGCTGTTATTTCACTGGCATACAGTTTGTAGTGTTGTTTATTGCAGTTTTCTCACTTGGTGACCTCAGAAATATTAAATGGTACTGATATTTGTTTTGCAAAAAAAAAAAAAAAAGCACAATTAATTTATGGCACAATGTTAATGCTAATACATAAAATAAGCATTTATTTATGTATTTTATTTTTTAGGGAAAAAAACCCGAAACATTTTTTAAGCTATTTCTCCCGATCCGAGGAGAAGTACATTTAAAGACTGTGTTTTTAATTAGTAAGGTTCATAGTGACTTACTGCGTCTTGTGAAGAATGTATAAAAAGAAAAATAATATATTTATTTTAAAAGCAAAAATCACAAAACATATCAAAAGCAATAAGCACAGCTGGTTCTGCAATAGCACAACTAAACCACCTACTCGGAGAATATTTTCTTGCTAGGCAAAAAAAACAATACTTAACTTTTTTTTAGCCTGATTAAAAAGTATGCATTAAAAAAGTCGCTTCTGAGAGTATGAAATGTGTAAATTTTGGGGGTATATTGAATTCCAGTAGTTGTTTTGTATTAGTCTTTTTCCAGTTCTGTAGCGTGATGTTCGATTGTCCCTATATGTACATTTTTAATTATAGAACATTAAATTTATTTATCCTGTTTACATGAAATATTATAAATACCGGTTAAAGAAAATTAGCGAGCATTAGACATGATGGAATTAAGCAAGTATATTGAAGCTCAGCTCCTGCCCCTCCCCCAACTGGAAGCATTAATTTTTTTTTTATATACTTACCTTTTGCACAAGTGTTTAGTCTGGTTATGTAACTCGCTCAAGTCAGCCTTTATTTTTGGTCTATTTTGGAGGCGGGCATGTTAGTCTCTCTGCATCATTACACTGCGATGATGATGTTTTAGGGGGAGGGGCCATTATGCCCTGCAATCACAGTCGTTTAAACTGGAAAAGTGAGTACATCTTGTCAGGGGTGTATTTACCACAAGCCAAACAAGGCACTTGCCTAGGGCGGCATTTTTCAGGGGGGCAGCACCTCCCCCCAGAAGAAGGGATGGAAGAAGGGACACGCACACCATGGGAACCAGGTGGGATCTGAGAGAGGCTGCGGGCTGCTTGATGGTGTATGTAGAGCCTGACTCTCGTTTCCCGGGGATGTCCAGAGCTGTGAAGTTGAGTGTCTTTTTCTCTCTATTGCTAGGGGGGTAGTGGAAAGCTCTCCCATGTGGGGGGCAAGGGTGTTGCTGGTCAATGTCAGACTCTCTCCACACGAGGGGGTAGGGTGTTGCTAGTCAATGTCAGACTCTCTCCACACGAGGGGGGGTAGGGTGTTGCTGGTCAATGTCAGACTCTCTCCACACGAGGGGGTAGGGTGTTGCTGGTCAATGTCAGACTCTCTCCACACGAGGGGGTAGGGTGTTGCTGGTCAATGTCAGACTCTCTCCACACGAGGGGGTAGGGTGTTGCTGGTCAATGTCAGACTCTCTCCACACGAGGGGGTAGGGTGTTGCTGGTCAATGTCAGACTCTCTCCACACGAGGGGGTAGGGTGTTGCTGGTCAATGTCAGACTCTCTCCACACGAGGGGGTAGGGTGTTGCTGGTCAATGTCAGACTCTCTCCACACGAGGGGGTAGGGTGTTGGTCGGCGGCGGCAGACGAATTTTGTGTTGCCTAGGGCAGCACAAAACCTAAACACACCACTGCATCTTGTGGCAAAGAAGCACTGGGGGGGCAGCATCAGACTGAAGGTGAGTATTTCAACCTGGGCCATGTTCCTATGGTTGAACTGGATGGACTTTTGTCTTTTTTCAGCCAGACTAACTATGTAACTAAGAACAGTTTGGAGCTTAAAGAGGATTTTCACCCACCTCCCCTGTTTTTTTTTAACCCCTGCTTAACTAGTGATGAATTCTGTTACGTTTAGATACCCACCCAGCGGATCCAACGTTGTCTAGTTGAGAGCCTGTTCTCTTCCACTTGGTCCCACGCTGCCATTTTTTATTGTGGCATCATCGATAGGCAGCTGGCTGTTCCAGGTTGACACAACACTAGGCCTAGCCCCCTCCTCATTTCCTCAATGAAAGGCTATGGCTCCTGGGATATGTGACATGCATATCCGAGGAGGAAATAGGAGGACAGTGTACGTCATTCGCCCAGGCGTATGATATGCTAGGGCAGTGGTTCTCAACCTGTGGGTCGCAACCCCTTTGGGGGTCGAACGACCCTTTCACAGGGGTCACCTAAGACCATCGAACAACACATTTCCAATGTGTAAAGAGTAAATAATTTTATGGTTGGGGGTCACCACAACATGAGGAACTGTATTAAGGGGTCGCGGCATTAGGAAGGTTGAGAACCACTGTGCTAGGGGGTTGGGACCCAACAATTTATGTAAAAAAAAAGGTAAATAAAGCAAAAAAAAAAAAAAAAAACAGCTCTAATCATGCAAAAGATAGGAGGACAGGTGTAGTTTTGGAGGGTGAAGAACCGCTTTAAGTGAAACTCCTTATTGGATGACTTAGATCATTAAATAATCAAGCTCTCATAATAACTAGATCCCTTCTTCAGGCTGAAAAAGGTTGTCCCTTAAACTCCAAAGCTTCTGGGTAAATCAGTGTACAATAGTCTACTACTACTTCTTTTAGAAACCTGAAAGATTATTAGTGACAGTTGGTGGGCTTAAGGGTAATATTAAGGTTAGAAGGCCTTGTCTATTTGCTGTTGCTTTGCCTTTTAAGATATTATATATATATACATATACACACAGTATATATATATATTTAATTCATTATGGTCAGGACTACAAAAAATATGTTTTAGTCGACTAAACAGAATATTGCATATTAATATTATGCAAAAATAAAATTAAAAAGTAAAATGTAAGAAATAGGTTTTGGTCAACTAAACAAAATATAAAATACTGCATATTAATATTATGCAGTCTTCTATCTGCCCAGCAGATGGAGCTCTAGCCCTTTTTTCACCTATTTAACTATTTCTGTTTTCAGCTATGGTGAAGAAGCTGTTTGTCTGCTCAGCTCAATGAGCCATCACAGTTCAGTAGGTGATTTTAATTAAACAAAGGGAGCTGCAAAGCAATCTTTATTTACTGCACTGTCTCCTTAGCTATTCCATAGTGCTTAAAGAATCCTGTGTTATAAATGATTTGTCATTTCTTTCTGTAGTATGATAAAGACTGAATGTATATAAAAAAATAACATAAATGAACAGTTTAAAAAGCTTAAATAAACTTAAACTGAAAAAAAGAAATAAAACATAACTGATCCAAAACCATTATAGTTTCCTTTTATAATAATAAGCATGCTTGCCTGGCTGACCCAAACATGCATGGTTGTTACCAAAGCCTCTGTAAAAGACCTCTACCAATGATTGGATTGTGTCTGAAAGGGCCGAGTTCTACAGCCATCTGAGGAACCAAAGTTCCTTGAACAATTCTAGGTGGGTTAACTTAATAGATAAATAATGTTTTTTTGTTTTGTTTATTCATGTCTTAGTTTTAATAATTTTTTTTGTCTTGTGCTTCCTTTTTATTTAGCACAATATTGTATTTTTTAAAACGTACGATGCCCCGTACAGGCCTCACGCCTCCAATCTTTTTACTGCAGCAATGCACTATATAATACAAAAAAAGCTGAAAACAAACCACGGAAAGTACTTTTTTTTCTTATGACATATATAGTATAGGCATAGAGATTGATAATACAGGACAGCACTATAATACATGATAAAAAGATATGGTCCGAAGTGGTGCATTTCTTGTATTATCTTAACCAGGGTGATTTACTGAAGGCAAATAGGCTGTTTACTTTGCAAGGGAACTTTCGCTTAGCTTAATGAATGAGATGATGCTCTGCTGACTTCCATCATCCAATCACATGCAAGCAAAATGTCACAAACACTGATGGCGACCTCTAGTGGCCCACTGGCCGGAGTCCCCCAGGGCGCGGAGTCTAAGCCCAGGTCTGCTGGTTCACCAGAGCCCCTGATGGTGGGGATGGACTTGAAGCAGACCAGGACCAGGTCGCGACCCCTGAGTGACACCAACCGTGGTAAAGGCAACCGCCAATGGTGTTTAGCGGGTAGGAGCCAGATGTGAAGAGGTGTGACGTGGTCAGGCAAGCCGGGTAGGTAACAACGAGGCAGACGGTACAGATCGGTAGACAAAGAGTAATTGGGTCACAAGCCGGGTTCGGTAACAGCAGGTCAGACAAAAGGAGCAGGCAGAGGATGGTCAGGGCGACCCAAAGGTCAGGGCAGGAGAAGACAGCGGTATCAGGTCCAGGCATGGTCAGCAACAAGGCAATCAGCATACAGGAAGAGCAGGAACACAGGAACAGGGAGAAGACCATCAGGCCACCTGTGTCTGTGCAGAGCTGGTTTAAGTAGCCCACCCAGTGCTGACAGGCGCGCCTGGGTCCTAGTGCCTGCCCAGCGCCGTCATAGGTGACAGGCGCGCCTGGGTCCTAGTGCCCCCTGCCTGCAAGTCTTGTCGGACACCTACGCATGTGCAGACTCATGCGTCGCAGTGGTCCCTGACACAAAAACACTGTTTTTTTTTTTCACTATTCCTTGAGCGTGATTGGGTATATTTTGTGAAGTGGATTTCCTCTGACTCTCATAATGGTCAACTGACTAGTCAATCAACTATTAGATCCAATTGCCTTACTGATCTGATAATATTTGCTTTAAAAGGATAATACCCAGTAAACCGGTCCATCTATATCTAATACAAATCATGAAGACTTGCATGTAACTCCTATACATACCCAGGCAGTCCCCGAGTTACAAACATCTGACTTACATGCAACTCATACTTAAGAATGGAGGCAGCGTGAAGTAGCACTGGTCCTGGAAACTGCCGGGCAGCTATCTTGCTGCTCACCCCATGCTGCCTCCTACTGTCTGGCGGACCTGCCAGCAATCCCACATCACTGCATGTGGAGTTAACCCTTCCCTATGCTATCCAAAAATTAAAAATATTTTTTGGCTGGAGCTCCACTTAAAAAATGTACCTGTTCCAACTCACATACAAATGAAACTTAAAAACAAATTTACAGTTCCTACCTGTTTGTAAGCCAGGGACTGCCTGTATGTACATATAGCAGTATCTGAAATTGACTTGGTGTCTGTCCCTTGAAGATTCTGCACACTAGAGCTCAGACTGGGGAGGGAGAAATGGCACAAGGACGCAATTAGGTCTGCTGCATAGCGAGGGGCATGCTGATAGTAGAAAAGAGTACAGCCACCGAGAGATGAGCATTGCGCTGCTTCTCCTTTCATTGTCCAGTCACAGGGTAAGGGCTTGCCCGAAAAAGAGGATAGAAGGCCTCAAAAGTGTGCCACCTGTAATTTTAAAAGTACAACTGTAGTCACAAAATGTGTTGGACCCCATTCACACCTGCATGATGCTTTTTTTAAAGCACGTTTGTTGCGCTGCAGCATAGGGTGGCTTATTCACTTGAATGGGCCGCTCTGCACGCATTAAATGCACCAAAGTAGCTGCACCTTTTTTTGCAGTAAGCCTCGCAGGTCTTTTGAAATGTGTGCTTTGGTGCGTATTTCATGAATTTTGTCGCATGACAAAACTCATGACTGCTACCTGCTTTTTGGATGCCATTAAGAAATAATGGCACCGCAAGTACGATGCCATTTTTTGCATGTTTCCTGGAACACATGCAGAAACACACGTTTCTGTGCGCATTCCTGGATTTAAAGGCTACGAATGGGACCTTAAGCTAAGCTACCTTGACAGGCAGTACCATAACATACTTTTATTTTACCTATTCACAGCATAGTACATAGGCAAACACCAACTCTTTGAAACGTAGAAAATACTTAAAGTAGACATTTCACCTCAGATGCCCCCTCCCTAAAATGCTGCATAAAAGTATCTGTGGGGTGAAAAATAGTTATATAATATCTTAACCTTTCCCACTTTTCTGTAGTTCAAGGAGTGTCATTCTTCTGTAAAAAGGTCCCTGGAAATGCTGAGTTGCCCAACTCTTGTGAGAAGCGCAGGGCTGTCTACTTGCAAGATATGGGCTACTCAACATTCTTCAAGAACTGGCTGGAAGGACGATGACATCATCCTTACCTAGGCACTGAGGTACTAAGAACCCCTCCTTAAAGCATAAAAGTATCTGTGGAGGAAGTATTCTTGACTTCTGTAGTGTAGAGCGTGTCATCCCCCTGCCAACAAGATGCCTGGGAATGCTGAGTAGCCCAAATCATGTGAGGAGATACTGCAGCAAAGGACTTTCATCTGTGAGATTTGGGCTACTCAACATTCTCCAGGAGCTGTGTCATGGTCTGTGGGCAGGCTTGGATACCAGTAGATATAGCAGTAGAGAGGCTCCCACCGACCAGCTGGATGAGTGCAGCAGCAGGTTACCCTGACAGATGACACAGGCTCACCGGAGTCTATGTAGTAACCAATGTTCACCAGAGCTCCTGATGATGGAGTTGGGTTTTCCTTTGTGTTATTACCAGGTCACAGTCCTCAAGATAGCCCCACCAGGAGGTGAGCAAGCCAGGGTCCAGTAGCAGATATAGCAGGTAGGGATCAAGCAGCAGCATACTCAGTAAACAAGCTAAAGGTCAGTAACACATGGTCACAGGTTGGGATTAAGCAGGAGCATAATCGAGGAACAAGCCAAA